ATTCAGATATCTTGTGAGATTATACGAGCCTGTCATGATGGAGGCAGTTGGCACATCTTGTAGACAGCAGTGGCTTCCGACAGAAAGGTTGGCATACGTGTAGTTATTTATACTTCAAATTAAAACTGCAGTTAAAAAGTTATGTGCAAAAATTAATGTATGTAATGTAATGTATTAAATTCATTCCAGAGAGCCGTTATTACCGAGCGATTAGATAAATGAAAACCACATGGTTAAATATTCTGTCTGCTTGGTACATCATAAAGACACAAACAAGCACTAATAAATAAACTTAAGTACTTTCTGATTCGGGTCTTCCAGTTTCTCTAGTTCGTGGTACATTTCCCGTCTCATTTCTCTGCCTCCTCCTGCACCCTTCGCCTCCATCTCACTGTCTCCTCCAGCGGTTTTTGGGCTTCTCCTCACATGCAGGGCCCTCGCAGGTACCAGGGAGGGGGGGCGGCGGTGTTGTTGCAGCTTTCGCAGGGGCGGGTGCATCTGTCCTCTTGCTAACGCTGCCGAGCAGAGCCGGGAGCTCGTGTGAAATGGCTCTCTCGAGCTTCTCCAGCAGGCATCCTCCAGTCCAGCTGCAGTGATAGGAGAGCTGCTTGAAGTTGGAAATCGGGTTGACCCCGAAGAAGTCCTGGTAGGCCTCCTTGTCTGGCAGGTCGAATTTGCTGACATTGGTCTTAGCCAGAATGGACTTGAAGATGTAATACTTGTCGGGGTCATTGACAATGTCTTGGAACACCTCATGGGGGTCACCAAACCAGCCCAGCTTATCGTAGTAGGTCTGGAGGTAGCGATCCACCAGCAGAGTGTGGATGCGCACACGGATGGCGTGCTGCCGAATGAATGCGATCTTGTTCTCCATCTGATTTTCAATCACCTGCAAGGGAGGAGGACGAGAAACGGGAGAGAGTGGGTGATACAAAACAGATAAAAGGACCAAACTAAAACAATGAATTATAGAATACTAGCATGAACGTGTGCTTTGATTGCAATGATACTCAATTATGAAGTCCAGTAGTACTGAACCAACAAGTAGACTTCTGAAAAAGTCTGAAAGCTCATACCCAACATAAGTCCACTACTTCTCCACATATGTACTGCTCTCAATAAAACACAACCTCCTCTCTGTAATCACACTGGTTTAAGCTGTATTTCGGTAATTCTTTTGCATCTGTGCTGCCACACTTCTCACTTAAAAGATTTGCTGCTACTTTTTGCTTCCAGTGTTTCAAAAGCCCCCACTTCTACTCCGGCGTCCACCTGAAAGCTAACTCCAGTTTAATCCTGCTTATTAAACGAATAAGTCAACAAAAACTGCTGTAGAAGTTGCACCTGGTTGAGGTCCTCCAGCAGCGAGATCTCCTCCTTCATAAACAGCTCCCGGCTGGTGTCTGGAGCGTAGGCGTAAGGCCAGAAGGAGCTGACGTACACTCGAGGAGGTTCGGTGACATTGATGAGCGGTGCCATGCTCCAGAACAGGGCTCCGTAGACCCTCATCAGGTTCTGGGTCGAGAGGCTGTCTGCCTTGTTGAGGATGAGGCGGATCTGTGATTCACGGCCCTTCATCTGCCGAAAGAGCATCTCCAGCTCACCTCCCACATCCAGTTTAGTAGGATCAAAGACCAGGAAGATGAGATCAGCCCGATCGATGAACCACTGGCACACCTCATTGTATGGGTATCCTGAAGGAAAAAGAGGACAATTTATGTGTGTTTTAGAGTCAGAAAGCTTCAAGGAAACCTCTCATTGCATCCAGAAGATAAACCAATCAGCATGCTTTTTATTAACAGCTATTCTTTGTTTTCTGTGAAAGGCTTAGTTAAAAAAAACATCACAAAAAACAAATAACTAGCAAAAATATAGGTTTAATAAACTACTAGCCTATTAGTCTGTAGATATCCGATAGTGCTGTATACTGATTTAATCCACTCTCACAACTCTCTCTATAAACCAGTGTGGAAATGTCATTGTGGTGGATCACCCCAGCAATAGCAGCCTGCAGTTAAATTTTACATGTCTAATTAGAGAATTAGAACAAAAACATTAAATATTTCATCAACTGATGCACTAATAGAAGAAATGCGACCATCACCTCTTTCCTGCTGCTTTCGGTTTTCAATGATGCCCGGTGTGTCGACTATGGTGACCCTCTCCAGCAGCTTGTGTGGCATCTCAATGCCGACCAGTCGCTCCAGAAAGTTCTGGCCGAACTTCTCTAGAGGCGAGAAAGGCCTCGAGCTATCTGCCGCCATGACGATGCCCTCTACACTCCGAAACTTCTCGCCGTGCATTATGACAGTGTACTCGGAGGTAGTGGGTTCAGCACCTGTCGAAATGATGGAAAAGGAAATGCTTTATTAATTTGATTAATTAACTTGTAATAATAACTTAATTGTGAATTTGTTAATGCAAAATAACTCCAACATATAATTTTAGTACTAAAACAAAATGCTTGTCTAATGTTTAATGACTGTAAAAATAAACTATTGTTTGAATGTTTAACTAAACTTTGAGCCTTGTTTGTAAAATGTTTCTAGACAAATGTGTTTTTAACATGTTTAAAAGAAGGGATAAAACTTTTGGCAGATATTCAGGGTTGTTTTATTTGTGTCATACGGGCCAAAGTGGTAATGAACCTTCCTTAATAATGAAATGATATATAATATGTTATATAGTCTGAGGACGTGTTGAAACTCTTGTCCCACTGAAAACATCGCATCCAGGACAACATAATCCACTTTCTGGGATTTCCTCACCTGGATTATTGAGCGTGCATCAAGCTATTATTATTACTATTAATACTATTCTGTTTATTTACACTGTTACGTTATAGCTACAAGTCAAGATGAAGCTGTCACTGACAAACTAACAATCATGCTTTATCTGTATGAACCTGTGTAGAGTTGCTGGGGGGTGCCATGAAGACCCAGCAGATAGTTGATCATAGAGGACTTGCCAACGCTCCAGGGTCCCAGAAACAAAACCATGGGCTTGGATGTGACCTCGCCCTCTGAGCATGTGAGAGCCAGACATAAAAAAAGAAGGATGAAGAAAAAAGGAACAAAGACATAGATAAAGAAGTCATTAAACACATCAAACCCTCCTCTTTTTTGTTTTTGAAAAACTTAAACTATACTACTGTTTAACTGCTGTTTTTTCTCGGGTGCTTACTAGAGCTAATCCTGGTTTCTGTCATTTTTCAGGCTTGCTTCCAGAACAAAATGACTGGCTGTGCATCAGAAGCTAGTGAGGGTGACCTCTGCCTTTACAGCTCGCTAGCATCACCCTTTGAAAACATATTGATATATTGATATATGTTGAAGTGTCAAAACTCATCACTAAGGGTACAGGAAAGGTCACCAAATGTTCTCTTTTTGGGGGAAAGAGTTAACAGTAAATCCACAGCTGCAGCCATCCTGCTCATGTCACCACACCACACACTGGTTGTTTGGTTTGCCAGTATACAGTGGGTATGCACCCCTGACACTTTAATTCAGAACAACCCAGGTCAGCAAAGACTTTCAAGAATGCTAGAAATTTTTGAAGGTGACCACTTAAAGTAAATCCCTCTGATTATTCTTTTGTGGCGTCCTTGTCTTTAAATTAAAACCTCCCGTTGGACAAAGGAAATACCAAAATGAATGGGGACATTTAATTCAAAGCACATTTATTCTCCTCTCAGAATATAAACTTAGAAAACAAAGCATAGAATCTCTTAATATAAAAGACCTTAATGGTACACTTTGTGATATATACTCACCAATGTAAAAAAAATAATAATAACAATAATAAATGAAACTACCTTTGAATTGATTGTAATTGTGTACTTCCATTCTGGAACACAAGGTGTCCCAGAATCACATGGCACAGCGTGAAGTCTTGATCCTGCTCCTTAGCATAAATAATACTCCATGCCCTGAAGTGCTATGGAACAAAGTTGCAGTACGCCTGGCCCACACAATGTTCCCTTTAAATTTCAGCAGACAGAGTCCTTATTGTGCTTCTCTGTGTGCCTGGTTTGATCAATGTCACATCTTGGCTTCATATTCATTTTTAATTATGACTTTATTTGTACTTCAGTGTTGCTGTGCTGTTCCATTTCATTAAACCCAGGCACTGTGTACATGTGAACTGATAAAGGAATGTGGGTAGGGTGTGCTGCTTTGGTTTTACACACCACAGTAAACGGCTGGAAAAGCAATGTGTTGAAGTCGTGTCGTACGTTTTGTGTTTCTTTTGACAAGTTACCAGGACTGTGGCTTCTGACTGACATTCACAGCAACAGTATTTCTGTGACAGGGAAGCATGTGAAATTCTGATTTCTAACGGCCTGCAATTAAGAGTGAACTTTATAACACAAGAGGCCGCTGCTGAAGTTAAAAATAGACGTGAAGAGATCGTGACCAACAGTTTCTTCCCATGTTGCTAATGTGGACCTGTAAAACCTGTTTGTGACTGTACAGACAAACTGTTAGTGCTTTGGTAAGTGCAGTTAAACTCCATGGGAAGCTAAATCACCTGTGACTTCATGCTGCCTGAGCTCTTTGTACTTGAAGGCTTGCTCCACTGGCTTGACGGCCTTGTGGTAGATGTTCAGCAGCGTCTTCACGGCACCTGGAGGGGAGTAAAGGAAAGACAACCTGGACTGTTGGGATGGTTATGTAAAAGAGCATTACGAATGCTCTTACTACCCTTACTGACGACACCAATTGCTCCTGCTGTATGTGATGAATCGGCTTCTTAAAGTTTACTGAATGGATCTGAGGTGATTAGGGGCTGGCTTTGCTCAGCTCTTTGGCCTCATTGCAACAAAACAATCTAGCTCAACAGAACAGAGGGGCTTTTTGTGCCGGGGACAGAGTTAGGCATTTTCACTGATTAATCACCTTCCCTTAAGACACGTCTGCACACACACACACACACACACACACACACACACACTCACATAAAGGCCTCAGGACCCAGACATCGGGAAGCAATTTCCAGAATAGTTTCTGCAGAAAAAAACACTCCAAAATTGTTTCAAACGTCCTTTCATATGCAAGCAGAAAAGCATCTGTTTTTCTTTTCCACTGACAAAGTAGCTGTAAACATTCTCCTGCATTTTTTCAGTACATGACTCCAGGCGTTATTTCTGCAGCAAAAGTCTGAAAGATGTTTGAAACAGTGTGCAGCGTAGCAAATGCGCTCACTGAAGAGCCAGCTTTTTATTGAGAGGATGTGTTTCATGGGAGTTTTAAAGAGGGGGATTCTTAACCGCCGCCGTTCCTTCCTTACCTGAGAACTCTGATGGTTCAGCAGACGCCAGTCGCAGCGTATCCTCAATGTGGGAACGGTTCCTCAGTGCCACGCTTAATGTCTCTCCTTCTGTGCATTTAAATCGTAAGAACCAACTGTTTAGGTTAACACGTGACAATTAACATGGAAAAACAGGCACATGGTGACAGCAAGTAATCGGATTTTATCTGTGAAAAATATACACAACTGCTGACATGGTGGGAAAACAAACGTGGACTCAATGTAAAATGTCCTAAATTGTTATGTCATGCTGTTATATATCTATCTGTCTATTCCTTTCCACAGCTACTCCCGGCTGTTTATTTCTGTACCAGAGATTGTTTCTGATTCCTCTTTAACTACACACAGTGTCATATTCTGGGGATTTGGCATGTGCACAAAAGAAAGAGAGAAGCTGGATACCATAGACCTTTGCTGTCATTTCATGACCTGTCTCAGTTAAATGCCCAGTGACACAAATATCTCATTACCAAACAGAATTTATGTCACAAGGCACATTTTATATACACAAAACACAAAACACAATGTTTTTTATTAAAGTTGCGACACACCAATAAGCTGCCAAATAAGCAAATTGCACATTACAGCGTTTGTAAAAAAAAAAAAAAAAAAAAAATCTTTTCATCTCCTCAAAGCTCGGGTTGTTTTCATTTATCAATAGATTCTTTTCTGGGTGCTCCACCGAACATTTCCAAAGGGTAAGCATGAAATGTTCCAGTGAGGCGTTCTTTAAATTAAGGGACTCATTTTTTAATTTTTATTTCCTTCTTGTCAGAAGCTTGATGAGAAAATCAGTAGGCATGTCATAGTAAGCGACTCCGAGGCTGAAAAATGAAGCCAGAGCACAAGTGCCAAATATGGCAGGTCCTTAAGTGGCCACTTGAGTCTGCCTCCAAAAGTGAGCCAATGTGAAAAGAGGCCAACTTACAGTGAAATGAACGTGTTTACAATGAGTTAAAAATGTTAGTCTTGTAGATAATTTACCCCTTCGTAACAAAAGTAAAACTTTTACATTTTTCAAATATATATTTTTGGCTTTTTAGCCTTTGTTGCAGTAGGACAACAGGAGAGAGACCAGAGGTGAGATTCAATCACAGGCCTTCAGCTTTAACCTTATGAACAGTATGAAGACTTAAAGTTTTAATGTAATTATCTGACTGGCTTGCTGTGTGGCCAGCAACCCACAGAGTCTGTGGAATATTTCGGTTTTGCAGTCATGTGACTGCTAACCATGTGACGGTAACTTGTTTGCTATTTTAGATGTGTGACCCTGTAAGGTTAAGTGAATAAGGTCCCAGTCAGACCATCTGGCAACCATCGGTCATGTGGGAATAATTTATATTCCCTGACCGGTGGGAGAAAATCTAATTTCGGTTAATATGCAGGGAAGACACCAACATCTGCAAAAACTCTCGCCAACTACTATCTGACTTTCAACAACAAAGCGGGAACAGAAAATGTGCTTTCAGCAACTCCCAACTATTGTGTGCATGATTTCACTTGAGAAACTGGTGCCAAAGAAGACCAAAAAAGTCAGATGGATGCCATAAAACTTCAAAATACTGCTCCACAAACCAATGGATGGTACCACAATGCCTATAGTCACCATCTACATACAATTTTAGGTCTGAAAGCTAAAAAGCTACAGCTATGAAATGACTAGAAGATCAGCTTAGCACAAAGACTGAAAACAGATACAGCTACACTGGTTATATAAAAAAATAATCTCCCTAATATCATCCATAAGGTCCACTAACTAAAGCCATAAATAATGTTTGTTTTATGCTTGCAAGCGAACAAAGTCTAAAAACCACATGTCGCTGCTTGCATTGAGTTCAGTTTCTCTTCCAGTTTGCTGCACTTTCATATTTAGTCTGAAAATATGAGATTTTTGTCAGGGTTCTCATCTAATATTTACAAGCAGGCAAAGAAACAGGTCTTTTTCATTTAGGGTTAAAAAAAAAAGACAGCATACACCCCACCAAACATGATGAATGAACAAATTAATGAAGTGGGATCAGAGTAAGAGATTGGAATCCCTTTAGGACTTTGCCTTCCTCTTTTATAGTAGGTGTCAACACCCGGATACCAGATAATGACATGCTTCCTTAATCACAGAAGCACCAGCTGGATGGGGACAGATTTTCTGTAACATGATCCCTCCAAGTCTACTTGCAGGTCAGAATGAAGACAAGACATTTAGCTCTGGTTTCAGCAAAAACATACAAGTCACCTTGCTCTTCTTCAAAAAACTCCCCCAAACAAATAGATTTTATATAAAAGCTGAGCTTAAACATCTGATATACAAATCTTAGGGACATCATGTTTTTGTACCTTTGGATTTAGACTGTGAAGGCTCCTCTGGAGTCACCTCCTCCACTGCCTCTACTGTAATTTCCTCAGTTACATCCTGCACTCCTGCTTCCTCAACCGACTGTGTTGTTATCTCCTCTGTAACAGCTTCTGGGTGAACCTGTGGAGTGACTCCTGGCTCTTGTTGCTTTTCTAAAATCACTCCAACCGGAGACTCTGCAGTGACTTCTGGTTCAGGTTCAGTCTCTAAACTATCTGCTGATACTGTTTTTGGTTCTTCTATCAGTTCTGGCTCCGTTTCTTCAGACTCAGGGTTGGTTTCAGTAACCACCACTGGTTCCTCTTGTGATTCTGATTCGGTCACCTCCTTCTCAGCTGCATCCTCCACATCTGTATCGTCTTGCAGGACTGTTTCCACAGTTTTCATTTCTACAGAAGCTTCCTCTGTTTCTTCCTGTACGTCTTCATCTTCTGATTCCTCAGTCTCTTTAACCGCATCTTCTCCATCAGTATCCTTAGGTTCAATCCCTTCTTCTTCCTCCTGGGATATTCCATTTTTGGCTTCTTCCTCGTCTTCCTCAGCCACAGCCAAAGTCTCCTCCTCATTTTCAGGAATAGGTGGATCATCTACTGTCTCCTCAGCTTCTTCATCTGATGTCACTTCTTCTTCATCTTCTTCTTCACTTGCTGCCACCTCAGTGGAAGAATCATCTTGTGGTGCTTCCTCTTCCTCCTTATCCTCTGAGGAGGGTGGATCTTTTTCAGCATCTGCAGTCGATGGGGCTTTGCAGGGATGGCACACGGCCCTCTCTGGGGCTGGGGTGTCGTTGGAGGAGCTCTGGCTGGAATGCTCCTCTGATGTGTCACAGCCACAGGAAAAGAGGTCTCCCTCTGGCCGCTGGAGCTTCAGACGCATCCGAGGATCCTCATCTTGGACAGAGGAGTCTGTCAGGAGATCTGAAAAGAGAGGGAAATATGATTTTACAAAAGTTTACCTTTCAGCATGACAGAAACCTTTGAAATATATCTCTGACAGAAAAAAATTGTAAAGAAAGAGAAGTGATTGTTTTTGAAGTCATTGTCATCTCAGACTTTAAAAAGATGCAATGAAATGCCTCACATTTCATAGTCAAAAATCACTGTTATGCAATTCACTTCAAGTAGAGATGTACAGACAAGTCACCCTTGTTTGCTACGTCAGCGTTCGACCCGCATTCAATCAGGATGCTTGAACAGAGCAGATCGCATGTTTATCACCTCTTGGATTTCTGACTCAGATTTCAGTTCCTTGAATGGTGGAATGATGGAATGGACTATTTAAGGCTACAAACACTGGACAGTGGCAGAGGACGCCAAACAGAAATGAATTCATGTAAGGGTACACATTTTTGCTCATGTGGTGTTTTTAATTAACATGAAATTTCTGGCCGAAAGTGTGAATGAATAAATAAGTTCCTTTATTTCCTGATTTTACTATCATTAATAAGGACAAATAGAAGCATCACTTGATTTGTACTGAATCAAAAACTGTGATGTATGCCATTCAAATCTTCTGTTTGGATGATTAGGCAGTGGAAGAAAACTGATAACCTGACAGGCTGCAGCAAGACCAGGTATATAAAAAAAATAAGGATTATTTGCAACTGTAGAAGATACCAAGAAACATGCTGTTTAACCCACACATTGCCTTTTCCCACTAAATAATGTTTTCTTAACTTTAAAGCCAAAGATTTGTTCAGTGATTGATGATAAAATGGTTTAGATGTTTCTCACAGGTCAATATGACATTATTAGCAGAGACTACACCAAGTTGCTAGCACCCGTTCAGGTAAACAGACATCAGCATTGTTCTACAGTTACCGTGGCTTCTAAACAATCATACCTATAAACAAGCTTCTCCCTCTACATTACACTACATACATGTGCGTGAGATACGCTTCACTACCACAGTGACCAGAGAGCACAAGGCCACGACCTCTGTTTAATTATAACTGCGTGTGAGGAGGAATGCACAGTGGTACAACGTGTGATGTGAGGGAGTTAAATACATGTCTACGGTTCATGTTACACGATGGGGTCAGTGTAATGGATGAAGACTAATAGCCTCAGGCAGCTGTCATGGTTATTAGATTGTCCTACGCTGATAAGTAATTTGTGATCATTTCATTTACATTTTTGCACAAAATACTTCGAACATAAATGTATTTAAATTCTACTGATTTAACCCAGTGCATGAATTATTTTGCTCGATAAACTTTCTTTGGTTAGACTCACAATCTAAAGCTTTATATTTCAGTTTCACTGTCACGGCTTACTGGGACACTTGATGAAATTAAATCATTATTACCCAAACTGTTCCTGTTTTGACAAGTTAAAAGGCTGCTGGGGGAAAAACTGTAACAACAGCATAAAATCCACAACACAGGAAACTTTCTCTGTTTTGCTATATCAGGATTGGCTAGTTCCAAACCTCTGAATCAGTGTGCACATCCAAGATTAGTTCATGAAAGAAAATCCAGATGCTGAGTGAGCCAAACTATCAGGTTAGTATCAATGCAGATACAACACCGAATGCCTTTCCATTTCGTCTCTGTGGGCAAAGAGTAGTGCAGATATCGGCTACTTTCTGTCTAAAAGGTGGATGTGAAAGTAACCAGTAGCTCCCTCTTAGTCA